TGAAGATCCGGAGCCAAAACTGAACTTATCAGATTATTGCACAGAGCCCCTGTCTGCATGTGTTTTTATTTGTGTGCATGTGCATGGGTGTGCCCACTTGCATGGTGATGCAGAGATGTTATTTCTGTGCATGATTAACAGCATGTGTGCATGTATATCTGTGTGATTTGTGATTTGTGTGTATGTGGTGGGGGGGGACTGTTCCTCAGAAATTTGTCTTGGCTCCTCTGTAGTTTTTCTGAAACCCAATTTCCTCTTCCCTCCTGTTTTCTGAGGCCATAGCGATTAGACCTCTCACTAGCATCTTGTCCTCAGCACAACCTTTTTCCACCGAAATTCACTGGTAGTATGATCGTATGTGTGCATGAGGTGCGCGCAACCTTGTGCGTGGTCATGATGCACTGAGGTAACGACTCCCAGCTGCATTGTCTGTACAGAAAGCACATCTGGAGAGAAGGAGGAGAAAAGATTCCAAAAAGAAGCAAAGGAAAAGGGGAGTAAATGTCAGCTTATCATAAGTTTAATGTAATATCCTGTTCATTTGTTCTTAAATATAGAAATTCAGATTCAGGAGCTGCACTGGAAAACATCTGGAAGAACTGTATCACTCCCATACACACACATACACACACACAGATTACGACTTTCCTGTAAATAACCTTCAGAGTAGTCATGTGTAGTGTATCTGTGCACGCTGCAGATAGCATGAACATGTACATCTGCTATTTGGCTGTGTGGATCTGTGCATTTGCATTTATATGCATGTGCTTTTGTTTGTTTCTCTTGTGGCCTTGTCTTTGTGCATGTTTGCATCTGAAGTTAATTGAGTCGATTTTTGTGGGTTTTCTGTGGAATAGTGAAAGAAAAGTTGCAGCAATGTTGGGAAAGTTGAGCTGTTTATGATTCTAGAACTGATTATGCAGAAATCCCTCCGGACTGAAACACTCTTTTAGTCCATGTGGAAGAAATTTAAAAAAAAATTAAAGAGTGAGACAGTGTGTGTGTGTGAGAAAGAGGGAGACAGAGAGAGGGAGAAAGAGAAAGAGAGAGAGAAAGAGAGAGAAAGAGAGAGAGATAGAGAGAGAGAGAG